AAAAAAAAAAAAAAAAAAAAAAAAAAAAAAAAAAAAAAAAAAAAAAATTAAAAATAAAAAGTTTAAATAATAACTTATCAAATAAATTATAATTGTCGCATGCTTATTAAAATTTAAATAAAATTTAAAAAAAAAAGTAAAACAGTAGCTTGTAAAAAAAATTAATATAAATAAAAACTCCTTTATTTATATTAAAAAAAAAAAAAAAAAATTTATATATTAATTGTCTAAAAAAATTCTTCAAGTTTTTGAAAAATATACAATATTTATTTTTTTTCTTCCTTGATATTTCATAATTAAATAAAGATCTAAATAAACTAACGAATGAAATTTCAATTCAGCTAAATTAAGAGAAATACAATTTTAAATAAAAAAAATTTACATCAGCTAAATATTAATTGTGTTCAAATAATGAAGAAAAATAATTAATATGTTAAATTTAATTAATAAATAAATGAACAGTGTCAAAATATAAATTATTTGGTTGAATTAAATTTAATAGATATAGGGTAATTTTTAAGGAAATAGTAGGAGATAAATTTTTCAAGATTTCTAGTTTAAAAAATTAAATATAATAAAATAAAATAAAAAATAATATATCCGCAGAATGATAATAATTTATTTATTCAAAAATTTTTTTTTTCATCATAATTAAAAAATATTATATATAATTTCAAAACATTTAAAAAAAAATAATATTTTTTTTGGCAAAATAGTTTAATATGGATGAACAAATAAAATTTCTATTAAGAAATATTAAAAATAATTTAATAGAAAAAATTCTACTACCAAAAGAAAATATAGATGTAAAATATGCAATAAATATAATAAAAATTATAATAAAAAAGCATATTGAATTAAATAATAATTTTTTAGAATTATTTAAAAAATTAGATGAAAACTTGGGAAATTTAAATTATACAGTTTTTAATTCTAAAATAACAAAAAGTAATAATTGTCATGTTTTAAGCAAAGATGAATTTTTAAAAAAAAAAAAAGAAGAGAAAATTTTGAAAGATAAATTATGTAATGTTGAAAATATAATTAAAAATATAACAACAACATTTTTGGATTCATATGATAACATCAAGAAAATAAAAGAATTATATCTATTCTTTTATATGTTTATTTTTAAATTTTCTTTTGATAAAATTATGTTTAAAAATTATATATATGGTAATAATGACATCAATAGTAACAATAAATTAACAAAAATAAGTGACAACATTAATGCCTTTATTTCGTTAAATAAAATTAGCGAATATGAATTTATATGTTATATATCAAAAATTAAATTTCTAACTAAATTTTATTCAAATAAGGATATAAATAAATTTATAAAAATTTGTCTTTATAATAATTTTAATTTTAATTTTTTAAAAGAAATTAAAGTTTTTTTTTTCTTAACTACTATTATATATTATATTGAAAATGATATAAAACTAAAAATAAAAATTAATAATTTAATAATTAATAATATGTATACACATATAATAAACATAAAAAAATATATTTTAATTCTTTCTTATAATCCATATATAAGTAAGATGAAAAAAATATCAAATATATTTTAAGAAACATATATTAAAAAAAAAAAATTTTGTTTTTAAACAAATAATATATTTTGAATTTTTTTTTTTAAAAAAAAAAATAATAATTAATTTTAATAGACATTTTCCCATATTTTTTTTCTTTTTTATATTGAGAAATATTTTAAAAATATTAAGAAATTTTATAAAAATTAAATTATAAACATCTTATTAATAAAAGCTAATTCAAAATTAAGACATATATTTTTATAAAAACAATTTAACTAATTTCATTTAAAACCTTAAGGTAATAACTAAATATTTTTAAATAATGAATATATTTAATTATAATTAATCATATCAAACATTCATTAGCATAAAGGAAAAGAAGTATTGAGGAAAATGTAGAAGTAATCAATAGCCACGTTGCCTATAAAAAAATAAAATATTATAATAAGGATATTTATAAAAAAGTAAAATTATGATAACACATGTTCATTTTATATTTAGACTTAAAAAATATATTACGTTAATAACTGTCAGGTCTGAGTTGTCTGATTTCAGGTTATGTTTCCACTTTACACATAAAAGTAACTCTAGTAAAAAAATTGTTACCACTATGAATACATAAAAAACACCATCAATACTTGCCCTAAAAAAAAAAAATTGCAAATGCATATATGTATAATTAATAAATAAAAAAAAAAAAAAAAAATAAAATTAGTTTACTCTCTCGATATGCAATTATGTAGCTCAATGGATGCTTTAACTAAAAAAAAAATAAAATAAAATAAAATTTACTATTATAAATTGAAGAAATGTTTTTTTTTTTAAGAGTATTTCAAAAGAATTATGTAGATCTTACCACATATTATAACAACCAAACCCGTTCTTAAAAATATGATATAATTAGTTGGATATAAATTTAATTCCGCTTTTAAAAAAAATATATTTAGATCAATAATATTTACTATTATAGAGTAAAAAATTAATAAGAGCAAAGAAGCACTGTTTTTAAAAACTTTTCTACATCTATAAAAATATAAAAAAAAAAAAAATTTTTATTTTTCTAGGTGAAAAAAAAAGAAAAGAAATAATTATAAAAGAAAAAAAGTCATATATAAAAATTTAAATTAATATATATGAATTTTATATTACAATTTGTCTAATGTTGGGAATATTAAATTTTTTTTTTTTGGTTTAATTTTATCAGGAATTGTCCAATCAAAAAACTAAAAAAAAAAAAAAAAAAAAAAAAAATATTAAAAAAAATTAAAGATAAGAAATATATATAATCTAATAAAAATTTTGATAATACTGGTATGTTGAAGTATTTCATAACAAATATACTTAACATAATTCCAATTAAATTACAGCCTAAAACATCTAATATTACCTAAAAATATAAATATCATATATATATATATATTAATTTAAAACAAAATTAAGATATATTTAATACAAAAATATAAATAAAAAATATATGTTATTTTTTCTTCCTTCTACTAACATGATCCCACCAACATTCATAAAAATTCGGAAGTAAATGTTGAAATCTTAATTCTAACAGTTCAAATAATACACTGTTCAAATTTAGAAGAAAAAAATTTCTCATCGCAAATCCTTTAATGAACCATCCAAGTAAATGTGCTATTACAAATATATCAAGTTTATCCTTTAAAAAAGAATATAAATAAAAATGAAATAAATAAAAAAGAAATAAATAAGTAAATTATATAAAATGAAAAACTTTTATATTATTTATATATTATGTTTTCTTATTACTGTAATATTATTTAGAGAATTGCAGTTCTCCATATACGATTTTTCAGCCGTATAAAAAACTATATTCTTGTTAAATATTTTAATAATATATTTTATTTCATTTGGTGACTAAAAAAAAAGAAATATGTATATATATTCTTCCTTACTATAAATATTAGTAATTAAATTATATTTTTTTTTTTTAATTATTTACAAAAAATTGACAAAACACGATTATGACATAATAAAAAATAATGACAGAATTAATTAAGATTGTAAAAACATCTTTTTTAATTGTAAATATTATTTTTTGTATAACATTTTTTAATACACATAAATTAAAAAATGATATTATTAATGATCTGAAAGAAAAAAAAAAAAAAAAAAAAAAAATTTACATATATATGCATATATGTGATAAATATGTTATAATAACTATATTACATAATAATCCTGTGTTTAAACTCTAACAAAATAATTGAATTTGATAGTATTAAAGACACAATTAATGAAAAACATAACAAATATAAACTCCTCCTACGGTAAAAAATATATATGTAAAGAAAAAAATTATATATACTCATAAAACATGTAACATATATATATATATGTATATATTAAATTCTATTATAAAATAACAAAACTACATTAAAAAATATTTAAATATATATAATTAATACATTATATATTTTTTCTTTCTATATATTCTCTTTTTATTTTTTATTATTTTCAAAGTATTTCTGGTGTAATATTTCGTATATAATTTATTAATCTTGAAACAATATATTTTTTTTATATTTTTTAACTTAATATTTTTTCTATGTTTTTAATTTCATATATCTATTCAATTTATAATCATATGTATACATATATTTGTTTTAATTTTTTCTATATTTCTTGTTACATTTTTGCGAATTAATTTTCAAATTATATAACAATGAAAGGTTTTATTTTGTAATGTATTTCCTTCTATATTAATTTTTACATCAAAAAAAAATGACAACTATTATTTCAAAAACAATATAAAAGAATACATAAAGAAATAAAATCTCTGCAAAAAAAAAAAAAAAAAAAAAAAAAAAAAAAAAAAAAAAAAAAAA